ATGCCCCAGTACTAACCTTAATTTATAGCCCCAGGAAATCCCCATCCAGGTCCAGTTATATGGACCAGTCTGCTGAAGCTCCTCTGCATGGCAGTCTTCGGCCGGTCTTGATGCTGTTCCTCTTGTGGACATCTTCATGGCAGCATTGTAATCAGTGCGGGGCCAGATTTCTCCTCATAAGGATGGGACTTGGGTGCTGCTTGAATATCAGGCCACATTCCTGTGCTGAAAACTCGAGGACTGGGATGCCCACTGTTGTGGGAACACAGATTAAGGGAAGTATTACTGCAAGAGAAAATCTTTAGGTGGCCGAAATTCAGCTTTCGCTGGGCTTTTCCCCATAGTTCTCCTAAGGGTAACGGGAGGACACAAACTAGCATCCTCCCGTCACCCTAAGCTCGCCACCGATCGCGGTATACTGAGACGCCGCAGCTGAAGCGGATCCCGACAATTATGTCTGGATCCGCCCAACTGCGTGAGTGACAGCTGGCTCTGCCTATCTAGAGGCAGAGCCAGCTGTACCCGCCCCCTCCCCCGTCCGTTCCGCCAGTCAGCGCTGGCGGATCGGAGCGGGGAGGGGGGAATCCAGCCCCTGTCACGGCAGAGAGCTGTGACAGGATCGAAAGGTGAGCGAACGCCGGTATGTGTTCGCTCACCTCCAGATCTACTGAGCCGACCTGTGACAGTCTCATTGTCACAGGTCGGCTAGAACTATGAGGTGAGTGAAAAGCACCCCCCCTCCCCCCTCATAGTTCTCATTTAAGACAAAATGGGGCCACAGGCAAAAGATAATGTGGGTCCCCGTATGCTAGAATTTTTTGCTGGGTTTTAGGAGCGACTCAACAGAATGTAGGCCTCAAGCCTATACAAAACATGAAGTCTAAAAGTGACACTAAACTTAGGAGTTATACCTTGAGGTCTGGACTTGGGTGATCCCAGGACCGCGCGATCACGTGCGGTTTCACACAGCGGTTGCCGCGTGGCCCCATTGATTACAGTGGGGATTACATCAGCACGGCAATCGCTGAAAAAAGGTACATGTACCTTTCTTCGTGACACACACCAGCGTTTTTTCCAGCCGAGATCATGAACAATTGCACGGGCGGAAGCGTGGCGGGAAACCGTACGATCTGCCTGGCACGACTGGGGTGCCATTGGAAAAGAATGGCACCACCAGCGCGATCAGTAGTGGTGTGCAATTCCATGACTACGTGGTTTCTTGTATGATTGCCGTGTGGTCACAGAAGAAAGGTTGAAAAAATGTTTTACATGTAAATAAAAATAGTAAAATTTTAAAATAAAAAAAGATTTTTTTAAAAATAAAAAAAAATAATAATAAAAAAAAATTGTTTATAGCTATCTCTGCCCAACTGTTTCCTATTGGCCGTGGAGCTGCTAGAATCTTCTAACAGGTCCCAGCCAATGAATAACAACTGGGCGGAGCTGGCCGTGACATCACGGCCGGCTCTGCCCAATTATAGTTATGGTTTAATGACAGTTCAGGGTCCCCAGGTCATTTGGGGACGCTGAGCTGTCTGAGCTGTCATTACAACTGGACAACTGGCCGGAGATCACGTCTGGCTCCGCCCCGCTGTCATTTGCGGGGCAAAAGGCCGTCCCCCCTCCCCCGCTTCCGCTGTCACTTTGGCTCAGTCGAGCCGAAGCATATGCCTCCTATAGTGAATAGCCCGTACAGCAGCCCTTCGGTTTGACTGAACCTAAGGGCTCCCGCCTCATCAGGAGAGAGGAGGGGACCCGGCGGAATACCTTATCCCGCCGGGTAACTGTCTCCTCCTCTCGGAATACGGCCGCGCATGCGCGGTGACGTCTCGGCGGGGGGACACTCGGACACCGCTCCGGGTGTCACCCAGCCTCGGGACGCCGCTGCCTTTAAGTTTCAGTTTTATTTACTGTTTGTTATCAAAATGCAAAAGGCAGAATGGAACCATCCACCTGGCAAGAGGTGACGTGAATCTTCAAAGCAGAGACAAAAGAGAAGTGATGAATGTGATATGAATAGTGTTTTATTGTCATCGCTTCTTTCTCTTCTGTATGGCAGGAATTCGGTACTTGCCTGAAGAAGCTATTCATTTTACCAAGTGCTCACCAACTTCCGATGAGTGCCCTAAGGATTCCTCTTGTGTAGAAACCAAGCGTGGATACTACTGTGCTTGCGATAACGACTTCTACAATGACAGAGACTGGCTGACGATAACTTACCCTGGAGGACAGTGTTCTGGTAATTTGATGTCTTCTACCAACTGATGGTTTTGCATTTAATGGGGAATTCTACTGGTTTGAGCTCAATGTTATTTTAACTGCAGAGCCAGCTGTGCCCGCCCCTCCCCCGTCCGCCCCCTCCCCCGTCAGTCAGCGCTGGAGGATCGAGAAGTGAGCGAACGCCGGTATGTGTTTCAGGCATGGTGGGTAGTAAGAGAAGGAGTGTCTGACAATTATGTCTGGATCCGCCCAGCTGCGTGAGTGACAGCTGGCTCTGCCTATCTAGCTGTACAAAATGCTGTGGGTGCTGAGAGAAAAGGGCAGCAGGTATGGCGCAGGAAGGGGTTTTAGTTGCAAGTGCAGTGAAGGCTGTTGGAGAGTGTTGGGTAATATTGAGGGGGGATGACTGACATTGTAGGGAGGAGGTTAGGGGATAGTGTGAGGGGGCTGGCTGACATTGTATATGGGAGTGTTTAGTGATTGCAGGGGAGCTGGTTGACATTGTAGCACGGGTTAGGTGATTTTTTTCGGGGGCTGGATGACAATGCGGGTGGGGGGGGGGGGGGGGGGGTGGGGGGGGGAGGGGGGGGGGGGGGGGGGGGGGGGTTGACTTTGGCAGGCTACCTGCCTGCCAAGTTCTTTACTGGGAATATATATAACAAAACCAAGAAAAATTGCAACATCAGCGCTATATTCCAACTACTGCGGTCACTGGAGCCACCAAGGCTGCCCTTAGCCTTGTTAGAGCGGTAGGTAGCACATCAGTCTCATAATCTGAAGGTCATGAGTTTGATCCTCACACGGGGCACTCTTCCTTACAATATTTTGCTGGCTTTTAACCCTGGTCAACCTACCTTCATCTCTAAGACCTTCCATCAACTTATAAGGTTGGCAACCTATCTGTCAAGTTCTTTACTGGGAAACTACGTAACAAAACCAAGAACAATCAAAACATTGCTGATATATTCCAAGTGCTACTGCCACCGGAGCCACCAGAGTACATTTCTGCTCTTGGCTTTACGCCCTCTGTCCCGTTAGCGCATTAGGTAGCACGTCAATCTCATAATATGAAGGTAATAAGTATGATCCTCAGGCTCACACCGGGTGCCACAAGTGCATTTATCTGCCCTTGGCCTCATTAGAGCCGTAGGTAGAGCGTCAGTCTCATAATCTGAAGGTTGTGAGCTTGAACCTTATAGGGGGCACTCTTCTTTACATGACTTTTAGTCCTGATCAACGAAGCTTTCATCCCGGGAACAGCGCACTTCATCAGCCCGCAAGGATGGTTCACTTAACAGCAACAGGCACCCTTATCGGTCTATGGTTCTTTTCTCTCCACCATATTCCCTTCGTGTTTAAATCCATATCCTTGCATTTGACACAACTTGCCATTTATAATGTCTACTCACCCATTGGAAGGACATATGTGTTTTTTTATTTCTTCTATGTGGCATGCTTCACTCAGTTTCATGCCTTGGAATGATAAAGCACGAAGTATTCCCCCCTGCATGATTTTTGGAAGTCAAAACTGAATATGATGTAAGAAACAAATGCTAAATATTAGGGATGCACAGATACCAAGAACCATACTCGGTACATGTACCGATACTTATGAGCTCCAAGACTAGACTAGAGAAAGATTCAAAAGTTAGGAGGCCGCTGTCATGTGTAAGGAGCACACGGAGCTCCCGGGATTTGTACATCTCTGTTATAATGTACGATTTTGTTTCTATAAACATATATAAAGGGATGCACCGATACCAGTTTTGCGAGTACGAGTACTGATACATTTTTGTTTATTGTCATGTGACAGTTTTTCTAAAACAATACAGACCAATGATTTCAGGAAACTGGTGGAGCGCCAGAGCCCGGTCCCAGCTGCAACCACTGCAACCCTGGTAGTTCTCATGAAAATGCCAAGTATCGGCACTGGCAGGGCCGGATTTCCCACAAGGCCAACCAAGGCCTGGCCTTGGGGCAGCAGGGAGTAGAGGGGCAGCAGGGGTGTGGAATTCCTATCACCCGACGCCCAGGGTATGCAGTTCCAGGTGCCGGGCGGGTTGTTGTTTTCTACATTTAGCCCGGCTTTTGGCAAGCAGGGCTAAATGTACAGCGGGGGAAGCCGCCGCTTGTTTTGTACAAGTGATCCCGGAAATGTCGCTGAGATCACTTGTATGCAGCCTGCAGGTACATTCTCCATGGGGGGAGGTTGACTGGTTGGGGTGCGCATTGAGGAACCTGGCCTTGGGGCAGCAGAGAGACTAAATCCGGCCCTGGACACTGGTATCTGAAAAGTATCGGTGCATCCCTACTAAATATTATTACAGAATGTTCAGACAGCTCCGTCTCTTCTGCTGCTTTACTGAGTATTGGCCGGTTATTGATAAAGTTGGCCAAGGATCATATTGTTTCTGTCCGTTTAGATTTGAGCCTCAAGTCATTCCTGTCACCATAAGGGAGTGGACAGTTCAGGGTGAGTCAATGATTGACGAGAAGGGGGACATTAAATACATCGGTTTAATGAGCACTACACAACACTAGCTATGAACATACTGGTTTATTTTGAGGGGATGTTGTAGAATGTGCTCTGATTTGGGGGTGCATTAAATAACTGATGAACAACTGAATCTTAAATAAGTGTCGGGTTTATTTACAAATAGGGATATATATACATTCTAATTACAATTAAGGGAATCTGAAAGGGGAATTTGGATAGGAATTGAGGGTAAGGATCCTACAGCTAGCTACACCATTCTCTCACTCTCAGTCACACATGCCATGGGTTTTTCTCTGTTCTCAGGACACGCCTCTCCAGCAGGTCTCAGCGAATCACATTCTTGATTGCAGAGTTCAGAAAGACTTGTCTTGTCCAAAGGTCTTGCTGGTGAGCTAGATTAGTGTCACACAGGAAGAAGGTTCCATCATATGCCCCTGCCCCCATCCCAGCATATATGCCTTGCTGACACAGGTGTGGGCAGTAAATACCAGCAGGGGGTCGGGCTTGCCCCAGGACATGACAGTCCAGCAGATCTCCTTTGATCAGTGTCCAGCCCCAGGAACCCTTTGATGGTCTTCATTCGCATATCAAACAGCCACGGGCAGTTCACGATATCAAAGAACCTTTCCATCAAAGATGTATCATAGATGTCAATTTTTTTAGGTTCCAACAGACGTCTCTCCCCCAGTTCAGGCGCTGAAGTGAGAGCAGGATGGATGTGCCCATACCAGTGAGATTTGGACAATAACAGGGAGAGGTGAGGGTAAGCCCTGGCCCCAGAGTGCAGGGCTTGGACGAATCGTCATGCAGCGAGAGACTAGTCATGTGTTAGAAGGTGCCAGAGTAAGACGTCCTTGGGATGCAATTAAACACATTTATATATGTATGGCCACCAGCTTTACCTTCTGTTCAAGAGTCACCATGGTTTTCATGACACCACTGAATCCATCACACTGTAGACTTGGGCGCCGTCAAAAAATTTGTTTAGTTTCGGAATATGCGTTATTTCGTAATTCGTGTCCGAAACTCAATTCGGATTCGTACGAAATACGAATTTTTGTTAGTTTCGGCACATTTTCGTAACTTTACGAACATTCGTTATGATGAAGTCAAAAAGCAAAAATACCTTTGTTAATATTGGAGTTGATGGTAGTTGGTTTTTTTATCTGAAATACGAAATTCCGTTAACGGATTTCGGATCCGAATTTCGTATTTCGGATTAAAAGAAAAAAACTACCATCGACTCCAATATTAACAAAGGTATTTTGCTTTTTAACTTCATCATAACAAATGTTCGTAACGGAACGAAAATCCGTTAACGGAATTTCGTATTTCCTGCCTGTATTGTAATGCAACCCTCAGCAGCAGAAGAGAACCTCTGATTGGTCAACCAAACGAATTACGAATTCCGTTAACGGATTTCGGATCCGAATTTCGTATTAAAAAAAAAACTCATCAACTCCAATATATTAACAAAGGTATTTTGCTTTTTAACTTCATCATAACGACTGTTCGTAACGTAACGAAATTCCGTTAACGGAATTTCGTATTTCCTGCCTGTGTATTGTAATGCAATACAGCAGCGGATCCGAATTTCGTATTTCGTATTAAACAAAAAATCTTGTCATGTTGTTCAACCTCATTTACAGGGGTAATATTAATTCCCGTTCAAAAGAAATTCGGATCCGAAATTCGTTAACGGAATTTCGTATTTCGGATATAATTCGGAAACTTCCATTCGGATTTCGGATGCTTCCGAATTTACGAATTTCAGGAAAATTCGTACGAATTTCGATTCGTAACCAAACGAATCGCACATGTCTATCACACTGACATTGTTTTTGTATCCATTTCACTTACCAGCAATCTGTAAAGAAGAAAGCAGCTCTCCTTGTGTCTGTAAAGCCGGATTCATGAAGAAGAAAAATGACAAAGACCTCTTCTTTTGTACAGGTGAGGTATTGCTGTGCCGAAGAGATATATTTCTCTGAGCTAGGAGGCTTGTCTAAGCTTAGCTGGTCTTCCCGATTGGTAATGGTAGATTAGATTTAGGAAAACCATTTCGGAACGGGCATTTGTAAGAATCTGCTTTTTTTTTAAGTTGCTATAATGGAACGGCCTTACCTTTCAGAGATAGCTGTGCGTGCTGTTATTTACTCGTCTTCTCAGCATTCTACTTTGACTGACATTTATTCCGACAGGCAATGCAGTGCCGAAATTGATTTTATACCATTTTTCGGGGACACATAGAGCTTTCTTTTGATGGTATTTAATCACCACTGGGGGGGAGGGGGGGGGGTTATTTTTTTACTATATAAAGAAAAAATTATGGAAAATAAAATCAAAACTGTTTCCCCTACGTTATGTTATTAAACATTTATTATTACCCAATTTTTTGGTAAAATATAAAAGGCGGGGTCACCTTGGGAAAATAGACACCAAACATGTCAAGCTTTAAAATTACGCGCACCCAGGAAATAGCAAAAAACTACCATACCCAAAATAGGCCATAGGCGACGCTTTAAAAGCTTTTACCGCTCATCAGTTTAGTGTTATCAGTGATTGATGGATCATCGAGAATTATTGCTCGCACTCCGCCCCCTATGTGAGAGCAAATATAGAGTGATAGGTCCTCTTTATGGACACATTAGGGTTCTATTGGACCCCTAATGTCACCTAGGGGGACCCCCCAAAGAAGATGATTAAGCACAGATCTGTTTCATCGGCTTCTTGTCTTGATATAGCAGCCAGAGACATGACAGCTGAAGGTGGAAGTGATGTACCCTGTTTCCCCGAAAATAAGACCTACCCCGAAATTAAGACCCAGTTGTGACCTTTCCCAAGGCCGGTGGTGGCATAAGGGGGAACTTGAAGAGCCGCGGGAGAGAATCAGCGGTGCCAACAAAGCCAGCGCTAGAGGAAGCGAGGCTGCACCGGAGGGAGAAGAGCCGCATGAGCCGATGTTTCCTCTATAGCGCCGGCTCGTGTCGCAGGTGGAGTGATACCAAATGCACTCCACCTGTGAGGAATCCATAGTGAAAGTGCGCTTCCCTCATTCTGGTTACCAAATTGCTCTTGGAAAGGTATGGCAACCTGTATTGCCCTGATCACCCTATTCTTAACTTTGCCATTTTGGATTATTTAATTTGGATTTGCATTAACTTTGGATTGTTATACATTAAAAAAAATAAGACCTACCCCGAAAATAAGACCTAGTGTGTTTTATTGAGCCAAAAAAAATATAAGACAGTGTCTTATTTTCAGGGACACACGGTATTACACATCACTTCTACATTCAAAGATCTGAGAGATCAGCAAGTGGAAAAATGCTAATCTCCCTCCAATCTCAGTACCGGCAGCCAATCACACGAGGGACAGCTGAGCCAGGGATAGCCAGCAGTGGTGGTGGAGCGGGGGGGGAAACACTTTTCGGCACCATACAAGCGTTGGGTGGCTGTAGCTGTTAACTGATGTTTAGAACATTGGCACTCCGTTCACATTGAGCGATTTATCGCGCGGTAATTCCCGCGATATCGCGGCAATTTACCGCGCGATATCCCTCTCCAATGCAAGGCAATGGGGCAAAGGGTCCTGCTGTCGCGGGTCGTGCGTCGCTACAGCAGGACCCTTTTTGGAGCAGATTTTGCCACGATTCCATACTTTGCAATGCAAGCATTTGCGCGATATCGCGCAAAATGCAAATCGCGCAGTGTGAATGGGGCCTTACTGTGGTCTGTTCACGCATGCCCACAGTAAGGCACCCAGGGCCGGATTTGCCGCAGGGCCATCCGAGGCCCGGCCTCAGGGCAGCAGGGAGTAGAGGGGCAGCAGGGATGTGGAATTCCTATCTCCCGATGCCCGGGCGGGTAGTTGTTTTCTACATTTAGCCCGGCTTTGGGCAAGCAGAGCTAAATATACAGCGATCTTGGTGACATTGTATGCAGCCTGCAGGTCTGCCATGGGGGGGGGTTGGTGTGTAGGGGGGAGCATTGAGGAACCTGGCCTTGGGGCAGCAGAGAGACTAAATCCGGCCCTGAAGGCACTTGCCATCCTTCCGTTTATTTACAATGGGCGGACGGCAAGTAGTTAGGGGTTGGAGTGGTTGCAGTTGATGACGACTCTAGTCCCCTGTAAAGTCTGCAGTGATGACTTCAGAGGCACAAGAGGAGTCTTCGGGATCTTGTCATCATTACACACGGCTCATGAAGAGATCATCAGGGTGGACCCCCATCACATTTGTGCTATGGGGCCCTGTGATCTGTAGGTAAGGCCCTGCACAAGGTAATTTGTATTCAGAACCACGGCCTGTAAGTTTCATAGTGTAGGGCCCTCCTTACCATCTTGTCTTGATTGCGATTGTAATGTCTTCCTTATATTGTAAAGAGCTGCGCAAACTGTTGGCGCCATATAAATCCTGTATAATAATAATAATAGCGAGGACCCTAAAACCGAATTTCACTAAAAACATTTTGTTTTCATGCAGATAAATGTACAGACGATGAGGATTGTCCTGGGGGTGCCAGCTGTCAAAACCAAGTTTGTTACTGTCCACCCCAACAGTGCGATTCAAAATATTTGCCAGCGTGCGTTAGGAAGATACGACTGAATGGGAAATGCACAGGTAACAAAAATTACATGACGTCACTTGTAAACGGTAACAGTAAATGTTCATTTTCAGTAGATGTTATGTAGCGATGAGGAAGGGCTAAAACAACATACCCATCACCATGTCACAGCTGGGGGATGGCGGTTTGGATCCTTGGAGGCAGTGTTCAGTGGGTACATATCTGGACGGGGGACCCATCCGTGGTGTGGGTGTCCTCCAGTAGTCGGACGGTCAGATTGGTATGACCGGTAAATATTGGACCAACGTGGGTCTGCGGGCAATCTAGTTACGTCCCCGAGGCGGTGTATGGCGGCTGGGGGCATTCAGTGACAGGAAAGGTGCCCGCATGATACTGGTCCAGTTATAGAGTACGATTGCCTTCAAGGACCTTGAAACCAAACTAGTTGGTACAGGTGTTTGGTTGTTAATATTGTTATTATGGTTATTTATAATGTTATTTATAAGTGTTTTTAATAAATAGAGTCATGTATTTTCTTATGGATATTTATCACTTTATTACATCTCACACTTATGGGATCGTTTACACCAAGCGAGGAGCAGAGCGGTTGCAGACCGGATCAGAACTGCGTCCAATGTATTCCGATGGTATTTTGGGCTCTAGTTCACACTGCAGCGCTCAGTTCCAGAGCAGGTAGAAAAACTGCAGCAAGCCCTATTTTACCGCCTCTGGAATGCACCAAAACGCATGCAAGCGCATCAAAAACACATGCAAACGCCCCGGAAAGCACCGAAAGCCCATTTTAGATCAAAAAAAAATGTATTTATTTATTTTTACAAAAACGGCTCGGAATGCGGCAAAAATGCGGCAAAACACACTGCCCTGCATGTGCAGAAACTCATACAGATCTAGTCAGTGCAGGTGCTAGGATTCTTGCCTAACCCCCCGAACCCACCCCCCCCCCCCCGACCCCCTGTAGCGCTGGGCCAGCTTGCGCTATGTTTTGGTTTTTTTCACTTACCTTCGGCGCAGAAGAGCAGCGGCGAGTCAGCGCTGGTCTGGTGGGAGGAGCTTCAGGTGGGGGTCCTAATTTAGCTGGCCGGCGACTGCATGAGGTGCCGCGCGTGTCGGGATCCTCTGGCAGTGGCCGGCCAACTAAATTAGGACCCCCACCTGGAGCTCCTCCCACCGGACCAGCGCTGACTCGCCGCTGCTCTCCCGCACCGAAGGTAAGGGGAAAAAACAAACAAACATAGCGCAAACATCGGGGCATTTTGGCAAGTACAAGTACTTGTCAAAATGCCCTGTTTTTTCCGCCCTCACCCTGCAGCCCCCCTCAGGTGGCCGCCTGACTTGCCTTGTGGTAGCGCCGGGCCTGGATCTAGTCTGCATTTGGTGTGAGCCCTCAGTGTAGTGGTTTCTGAGAAAACTGCATCAAAGACACAATTCCTTAGATTTGTATCACATTTTATATAGATCAATGAACTCGAGCGCAATGTCATTTGGATTTCATTGAGCTCATTTGTGTGTCTCCCATACAAATTGAACACAGCAGCCGGGTGTACCACTATCCCCATAGCGCAGGTCCATTTGAACATATGGTCTTTTAATTTACAATTTCATTAACCCTAATTAGTGAATGGGTTGGGGATACAAGTTCCCCTTACTCATTCACAAGGGGCGGCGGCATCTGGCTGCCCCTTTATTAAAAGGGTACCCTGATGTGAATAAGCCCCCTGGCCGCACCCCCAAAACCAACGCCTCAGGGCTCGTGGGAAAGAGGCCCTTGTTCCCATCGGCACAGGGACAAGGTGCTTTTGCAGGGGCGACCCTCCCAGTGCCGAGGGTATGTGGCCTGGTGTGGGAGGGAGGGGGAGGCTACTCCCTCGTTGTCCCCCCTTTCCTGCCCTGCCAGGCCTATGCTCAGGTCAAGGGTCTGGTTGGGAATTTTAGGGGGGACCCCACGTTTTTTCCCCCCATTTTTGGGGGTGGGATTCCTCCTTAAAATTCCCACCAGACCTTAAGGGCCTGGCATGACTTGGAGGGGGAACCCCACACACTTTTTTTTACATGGGGTCCCTCCTCAATATTCCTACCAGACCTTAAGGGTCTGGTATGACTTTTAGGGGGAACCCCACATTTTTTTTTCTGTTTTTTTTAAATGGGGTCCCTCCTAACATTCCTACCAGACCTAAAAGCTTGCCCATATTGGTGCAATTCTTCATCTGTTTGGAATGAACATTTTGTCTCATCCACAGTGATAAACCGGTCTCAGAATTGTGAAATTCTGTAGCAGTTGGTTGCCCAGGATTCCAGGCCCCGGGGTCACATATACACAGAAAAACTGTCCCTCAGACTTGGATAAATGAGAGACGACCTGATTTATGGCCATTTGTATCACTTATCTACTTAATAAATATCCTCTTTGGAACAAAACCAGTTTTTTCGTGCTATGTAAAATTGAAATTGGTAAATTTGCGGCACCAAGTGACAATTTCCGTAAAATTGTGTAAATTGCTCCTATTGTTAACAGCAGTTTGCAATTGGCTAACCTTTTGAGGGTTCTTTTAATATTATGGTATATATTTTATATGCACAGCAACTCTATTCAGGAAGCGCTGATGTCCAATGAAACAAAGTCTTTGTGTATTATCAGTTTAGGAAATTGTTACCCTTTAAAATCTTTATTCCTCAGCCCCGAGCAACAGTACAACGCCACCAACGCAAATGACACCAAGTGTGGAGATCAGTACAACAACAGCAACAATACACAGTACACCTTGGAGAACCTTCACCGTCCCGACGCCACAAATGTCACAGCCAGGTGAGCCATTCACTAGGACGTACTGTACATGGATATAAAAGTTCAGAAATGTTTCGTATGGAAGAATTTGTATCTGATATCATTATATAAATAATCTCACCTGAGTACATAGTGTAGCACCAGTAGAAAGACTTTCGTTAGAAACATATGCAAATAATTCCTATTTACTGGAAGAAAGGTCTTCTGGGTAATGCCATGCTTAAAGCAAGCCTAACAGAACAGCCAGACATGGAATGGTGAGGTGGATTAGAAGAAGGCACCTACTTAATAAGTGAGAAACATAGTAAAGTCGTTTTAAATTGAAGGTATTTGCATTACAGACCTCAGATAAAAGAGGTTTTCCCTCAGTCACCATAGTCTACAAGGTAGTTACTGGCCAGTGGTTGCCATACACCGGACCCTGCAATAATATCACTGCAAGCTAGAAAAAAGGCGCCTCTCTATGCAGGGGGTGTGATGTAACAGGCACTATTGGGCGGAGTGACCTTCTTTATGATCAATACCTGTATAGGCCCAGCCATGACATCACTATGAGGAACAGCACTGGACAGTTGTAAGTGACAACTATACACCACTGATAGGACATCATTTCCTACTGACCGATGACACAGGGTCACCATTCCTGCCATTCTTCAACTGACACAAGAACATCATTCCTCCCACCCTTCCACTGACCACTGGCACAGGTGCACCATTCTTCCCACTGACAAAGGTGCACCAAACATTGTGGAAGACATTCCTCCCACTGACACAGGTGCACCATTCTTCCCCACTAACACAGGTGCACATTGCTCCCACTGACACAGGTGCACCATTCCTCCCACTGGCACAGGTGCACCATTCCTCCCACTGACACAGGTGCACCATTCCTCCCACTGGCAGAGGTGCACCATTCCTCCCACTGACACAGGTGCACCATTCCTCCCACTGGCAGAGGTGCACCATTCCTCTCAATGGCACAGGGGCACCATTCCTCCCACTGACACATGTGCACCATTCCTCTCACTGGCACAGGTGGACCATTCCTCCCACTGGCACAGGTGCACCATTCCTCCCAATGGCACAGGTGCACCATTCCTCCCACTGACACAGGTGCACCATTCCTTTCACTGGCACAGGTGCACCATTCCTCCCACTGACACAGGTGGACCATTCCTCCAACTGAAACAGGTGCACCATTCCTCCCACTGACACAGGTGCACCATTCCTCCCACTGACACAGGTGCACAATTCCTCCCACTGACACAGGTGCACCATTCCTCCCACTGGCACAGGTGCACCATTCCTCTCACTGGCACAGTTGCACCATTCCTCCCCCTGGCACAGGTGCACCATTCCTCTCACTGGCACAGGTGCACCATTCCTCCCACTGACACAGGTGCACCATTCCTCCCCCTGGCACAGGTGCACCATTCCTCTCACTGGCACAAGTGCACCATTCCTCCCCCTGGCACAGGTGCACCATTCCTCTCACTGGCACATGGGCACAATTCCTCCCACTGGCAAAGGTGCACCATTCCTCCCCCTGGCACAGGTGCACCATTCCTCCCACTGACACAGGTGCACCATTCCTCCCACTGACACAGGTGCACCATTCCTCCCACTGGCACATGGGCACCATTCCTCCCACTGGCAAAGGTGCACCATTCTTCCCACTGGCACATGGGCACCATTCCTCTCACTGGCACATGGGCACCATTCTTCCCACTGGCACATGGGCACCATTCTTCCCACTGGCACATGGGCACCATTCTTCCCACTGGCACATGGGCACCATTCCTCTTAGTGGCACATGGGCACCATTTCTCCCACTGACCTCTGACAGAGAATCATGTTCCCACTGATGGCACGCTCCCACTGAAAAGCTGACACGGGTACATTTTTACTCCCACTGACACTGGGGCATTTTTTTTACTCCTGCTGACCCAGGTATTTAACTCTGTTCTGCAATGCCTATTCATTTTTGTACTTCTACTGACTACAGTCTGACCACCAAACATTGTGGAAGACAGAGTACTGGCCCCTTTTTATTAAACCGGGGACCCCTGAGATACAGCCTAATTTTAAAGGGCCAAAAATCCCCCACTTAAAAAAAAGGGTTTAGTATAGCGGGCAGAGCCATGTAATACATTCCTTTATGTCCCTGTGACCAGCTGCACATCCAGAGCCATTGGCAGAACAACGAGACACAGTATGGTGAGGTGGGCTAAAAGAAACCAAAAAGCCAGGTAGGCCTGTAAG